ATAATGATGATGATAATAATAATAATAACAATAATAATAATAATAAATAAAGTTGGAAGGGATCTTGGAGGTCATCTAGTCCAACCCCCTGCTCAGGCAGGAAACCCTGTACCATTTCAGACAAATGGCTGTCCAGTCTTTTCTTAAAAACATCCAGTGTTGGAGCATTCACCACTTCTGGAGGCAGGTTGTTCCACTGGTTAATTGTTCATTTGCGCACCAAATAATAATCTGGAAGAATTTTATCAAAGCCTACATAGAAAAATAATAGAAAGGGAGTACCAAAATATCTGTCTCTAGTAGGAGATGTTAATGCGGTAGTAGACGGAACAATTGATCATAAAAGCAATAAAACAGGAAGAACCGGAAAGAGGAAGATTATCCAGGAGATTCCTTGATATGGCAGGGGAAATTAGAATACAAGATACCTCTAGGGAAATCAACCCCCAAAAATTACAATATAACTTTTGCTCAAACAGCCAAAAATCCTGGTCAAGAACTGATATGATTTGGATCACGTCTGAATTGAGGAGGAACGTACAGGAAATTGAGATAGAAATGGGCACCAGAGGGAAAAAGCTGGTATAGGTGAAAAAGGGCTTCAGAAGAGACGTAGCCATATTGAAATTGGATATAAAGGTCTCCCCTTTCCTAGAACTGCTGGCAGGTGGATAAAAACATAGCATTCCCCCCCCCTTTGTTTACTTTTCACCAACCTTGCTCACTTTAAGACCGGTGGACGTCAACTCCCAGAATTCCTCAGCCAGCCAAGATTTACCAGAATTTGGCAAGGCTACGACGAGAAGGAATGTAAATAGTGTCAACGTGTCAGGCAGTGTATCATCCCAGCACGAATGGAGCAGCAGAACGCGCAAACTACTTTATCGTCTTTTTTGTTTGTTTGTTTGATAAAGTAACTTTCTTAATAGATGGCAGGAACGCGATAGACGTAATATATCTTGACTTCAGCAAAGTGGGGGGGGAATGACTGGTGGAGGAATTCTGGGAGTTGTAGTCCACAAGTCTTCAAGTTGACAAGGTTGGAGACCCCGGACTTATAGAAAGGAACTTATATGGGAAACTGTCTCCAGGAGGTCACAAAGCCCCTTATTAACAACAACTGTCATTTGGGCACCAGTTCGGTTTTCCCGGACTGAGGAATCGTCCCACCGCTTGGCGCTTTATTTTACAGGTCAGCGGCGGCTTGAAGAGGCCTTGAAACGGCGGAAGGGTCAAAGCCAGCGTCCCAAGTCCTGGGTCTATAAGGTGAGTGGCTCACGGCTGAACTGCGGGGTCCTGGGGGGGGGTCCCTGAGCTGGGGGGTTTCTTGGCAGACATTTCGTGACCCAACTAGGGAACGTCATCAGTGATAGAAGGGAGGGGGGTTTGCGGAGAGGAGGAGGAGGAGGTGGTGGTGGTGATGGTGATGGAGGAGGAGAGTATGGGGTCCTTGGTGGTTTCTGAGCTGGGTGGTTTTCTTGCAGACATCTCATGACCCAACTAGGGAATGTCATCAGTGATAGAAGGGAGTTTGGGAGGAGGAGGAGGAGGAGAAAAAGACTAAGGGATCCTTGATGCTCTCTGAGGTTGTTTTCTTGCAGACGTTTCATAACCCAACTATGTAATATTATCAATTCTAAAAGGAATGCCGTTTGTGGAGGGAGGAGGAGGAGGAGGAGGAGGAAGAGGAAGAGGAGAAAGATAACTGTGGGGTCCTTGCTGTTCTTTGAGCTTGGCTCTTTTCTTGCAGAGGTTTCATGACCCAACTAGGGAACATCCTCAGTGCTGGAAGTGCATCTCCCTTTCTTTCTAGCACTGATGACGTTCCTTAGTTGGGTCACGAAATGTCTGCAAGGAAGCCACCCAGCTCAGCTATCCCTGAGGAACCCCCACCCCCCACCCCATCACAACATTGACGCCAACGGTGGAATTGGCCACAGCGAGTGACCCAAATCCTGTAAACTGTCATTTGCCTGTGAGCTCCTGACTTTGTCGTGTCCGCCGATGCTGTCGGCAAACACAACAGGGGCGTTTTCTTCCTTTTGGCTTCCAACGATCTTTTGCGCGAACCGTCTCCAGTTGTGCCTGCAAGGTGTCAAAACCCGCTCCTCAGCTGGCTGGATTCGCCCGGTTGCCCTTCCTGTCTGCAGCACAGGAGGATGTTTGGAACGTGCTTATTAAATTTTGTGTACTATTATTTTTGTGTTTCTTGCCCAGCCAGCCAGATGTTCAGACTGGCCTTTTCATCCACCTTTCTAGTCCTTCCCATTCATCTAAGTTAGGCAGATGTGGCTGTTTTGTTGGAGAAAAGGGTATCATTGGAAAAAGGAAGCTCTATTATTATTACAAAATAGTTGTTTTCAAAGTCAGCCAGATGTTGAGGCTGGATTTGGCCTCTTTATCCAGCTCGCCAGTCCTTCCCAAGGGTCTGAGATAGACAGATGTGGCTGTTTGATGGCATAAAGGAGGGAAGATATATTATTATGACTGTTTGCAAAGTCAGCCAGATGTTGAGGCTGGATTTGGCCTCTTTATCCACCTCTCTGGTCCTTCCCAAGGATCTGGGAGAGACAGATGTAGCTGTTTGATGGTGTTAAAGAGGGAAGCTACATTATTACAGTTAGTTGCAAAGTCTGCCAGATGTTGAGGCTGGATTTGGCCCGTTTATCCACCTCCTGAGGATCTGGGCTGGGACAGATGTTGTTCAATGGGGTTGAAAGCCTCCCTGGAGGACGTCAGCTCTTCCGAGCAAAGCTGCCTTTTGCAATTGACCGATGGGGATTTTGTCAATGCCGATGGTGTTCAAGGGGTGCTCCAGATGTTTTGGGATTGCATCCAAGATGCCTATCACGATTATGATTCTTTTCACATTGAGCCAGATGTTTAGGTTGGATTTGGCATTTTTTGTCTGCCTCTCGAGTCGTTCTCAAGGATCTGAAATAGGCAGATGTGGTTGTTTGATGGGGGTTAAAGGTTAAAGGCTGTCAGCTGTTCCAAGTCAAGCTGTCATCTATTCATTTATCCATCTGTCTATCATCTCTCTCTTATCTATCTATCTATCTATCTATCTATCTATCTATCTATCTATCTATCTATCTATCTATCTATCTATCTATCTATCTATCTATCATGTACCAATCATCTATCATGTATTTATCTATCTATCATGTATCTATCTATCTATCTATCTATCTATCTATCTATCTATCTATCTATCTATCTATCTGTCTGTCTGTCTATCTATCTATCTATCTATCTATCTATCATGTATTTATCTATCTATCATGTATCTATCTATCTATTTATCTATCTATCTATCTATCTATCATCTATCATGTACCTACCATCTATCTATCATGTATTTATCTATCTATCATGTATCTATCTATCTATCTATCTATCTATCTATCTATCTATCTATCTATCTATCTATCATGTATCTATCTATCTATCTATCTATCTATCTATCTATCTATCTATCTATCTATCTATCTATCATGTACCTATCATCTATCTATCATGTATTTATCTGTCTATCGTATTTATCATCTTTCTATCTATCTCTATCTATCTATCTATCTATCTATCTATCTATCTATCTATCTATCTATCTATCATGTACCAATCATCTATCTATCATGTATTTATCTATCTATCATGTATTTATTTATCTATCTATCTATCTATCTATCTATCTATCTATCTATCTATCTATCTATCTATCTATCATCTATCATGTACCTACCATCTATCTATCATGTATTTATCTATCTATCATGTATCTCTCTCTCTCTCTCTCTCTCTCTCTCTCTCTCTCTCTCTCTCTCTCTCTCTCTCTATCTATCTATCTATCTATCTATCTATTTGTAAAATGTATTGCCCCCCTTCCCCCATCTGACCACAAGGTAACTGTGGGCGGCTTACAATCCTTTCGCAATTGACCGCTGGGGATTTTGCCAATGCCGTCAGTATTCAAGCGGCTCCAGATGTTTTGGGATTGCACCCAGGTGCCTGTCGCTGCTATTATGGGTCTTGGCAGAGTCATCCAGATGTTTGGGTTTGGCACCTTTCTCCATCTTACGGACTGGGGGAGGATGGAGGAGGTGGGAACCCCAAGTTAAATCTGAATTTAAATCTGGACTTCACTCTGGTTTAGAGCTTCGTGCCACCACAATGGGCACCGGTGCCAATATGTGTTCCTTTCTCTTTTTTGCCTCACCAGATGTTCACAGGGGGACGAATCCCAGAAAACGAAGAGACCCCCAGCCCACAGCCAACGGCTTCTCCACGCCTGGACACCGACGCCTCCCTCAAATGCCTGATTGGCGAGTGGGACCTCCACATCTGCGAGAGGCTGGGTGACGGGTGCTTCGGCGTGGTGCACCGCGCCGAGTGGCACGCGCCGGGGGGTGCCTTGGTAAGCACCTGTCCTGCAGGCCTGCCCGCTGCTCAGCAAGATCCACCCTGGCTTTAGCTGCGCCGGGCCAAACTCGGCGCCTGTGTCTTTAGAACGCAACTTGACGACAATTGACAACTTGGCAAAAGAGACGGTCTGTTTTGTGACTGTTCCAAAAGAAATTGGCTTATGTCTGTTTTCACTCTTACGACGCTCGCAGCCTCCCCACAGTTAGGGGAACAAAATTCAGGCGCATGGTGAGCTACGTGTTTTACGACGGTCGCAGCATCCTGTGACCACTTTTTTGTGACCTTGCTGGCCGGATTCCCACAAGCAAAGTCATTGAGGGAAGCTGGGTTCGCTTAATGACTGCATGACTCGCTTAACGGCTGCAGTGATTCGTTTAACAACTGTATCAAAAATGTTGTAAAATTGAGCAGGAGTCCTTAATCCAGGGGTCTTCAAACTTGGCCCTTTGATGACTTGTGGACTTCAACTCCCAGAATTCCTCAGCCAGGCACGCTGGCTGAGGAATTCTGGGAGTTGAAGTCCACAAGTCATCAAAGGGTCCTAGTTCCCTCATGCTGGCTGAGGAATTCTGGGAATTGAAGTCCAGAAGTCATAAAAAGATCATAGTTCCCTCACGCTGGCTGAGGAATTCTGGGAGTTGAAGTCCACAAGTCATCAAAGGGCCAAGTTTGAAGACCCCTGATGTAGGTGTCCTCAGCATACAACAGTTTCTTTAGTGACTGTTTGAAATTACTAAAAATGTCACTTATGACCGTTTCCCACACTTACGACCGTGGCAGCATCCTCGCGGTCACGTGATCAGAATTTGGCTGCTTGGCAACCGACTCGTATTTACGACGGTTGCAGTGTTCTGGGATTCATGTGGATCCCTTTTTGCGAACTTTTGGGAAGCGAACTCAACGAGGAAGCCAGATTCACTTAACGTCCGTGATTTAACAGTCACTAAATGAAACTTGTTATAATTCGAGGACTGCCCATAGGGAGCTTTGTGCCTTGTGAGGCAGCGGCTGTGTTCCTTCCCTCTCCTAGATCCCGGTGGCCGTGAAGACGCTGCGGTCGGACGTCTCCTCCGATCCGGGGGCCCTGATTGACTTCCTCAATGAGGTCAACGCCATGTGCTGCCTGGATCACCCCCACCTCCTCCGCCTCCACGGGGTGGTGCTCACCCAGCCCCTCAAGATGGTAAGGGGGACCCCAACGACTCGCCTCCAGAGGTTGTGAGTGCTCCATCACTGGAGATCTAGGGTCTCCTGCTTGAGCAGGGGATTGGACTGGATGACCTCCAGGGATCCCTTCCAACTCCTTTATTCTGCAAGGGTCTCCTCCTTGTGCAGGGGGTTGGACTAGATGACCTCCAGGGTGCCTTCCAACTCTTATTCTGTAAGGGTCTCCTCTTTGAGCAGGGGGTTGGACTAGATGACCTCCTGGATCCCTTCAACTCTTATTCTGTAAGGGTCTCCTCTTTGAGCGGGGGGTTGGACTAGATGACCTCCCGGGATCCCTTCCAACTCTGTTATTCTGTAAGGGTCTCCTCCTTGAGCAGGGGGTTGGACTAGATGACCTCCAGGGTCCCTTCCAACTCTTATTCTCTAAGGGTCTCCTCTTTGAGCAGGGGGTTGGACTAGATGACCTCCCGGCTCCCTTCAACTCTTATTCTGTAAGGGTCTCCTCTTTGAGCAGGGGGTTGGACTAGATGACCTCCAGGGATCCCTTCCAACTCTGTTATTCTGTAAGGGTCTCCTCCTTGAGCAGGGGGTTGGGCTAGATGACCTCCAGGGTCCGTTCCAACTCTGTTATTCTGTAAGGGTCTCCTCTTTGAACCAGGGGCTAGACTAGATGACCTCTGGGGATCTCTTCCAACCCTGCTATTCCGTTATTCTATTAAATTTTCCAGTCTCCTTCCAAACTTTTCCTGTGGGGGTGGGGCATCCAGAACACGGGTGCCAAGATTCTCTCGCCGAGTTCGCACGACCTGTGTAACTCAGCTAGGGGGGAAACCATCTAGGATTGCCTTCCAGCACATTTATTCTGATTAATTTTATTTTTCCCCCCTTCCTGGGTTATTTGGGGGTTCAGAGGATGGGGCAATGGGTCTGGGGGGGGCATGGTTAACCCCTCTTGGCCAGGGGTCTTCAAACTTGGCCCTTTGGTGACTTGTGGACTTCCAGAATTCCTCAGCAATGTTGGCTGAGGGATTCTGGGAGTTGAAGTCCACAAGTCATCAAAGGGTCTAGTTCCCTCACGCTGACTGAGGGATTCTGGGAGTTGAAGTCCACAAGTCATCAAAGGGTCCTAGTTCCCTCACGCTGGCTGAGGAATTCTGGGAGTTGAAGTCCACAAGTCATCAAAGGGTCCTAGTTCCCTCACGCTGGCTGAGGAATTCTGGGAGTTGAAGTCCACAAGTCATCAAAGGGTCCTAGTTCCCTCACGCTGGCTGAGGAATTCTGGGAGTTGAAGTCCACAAGTCATAAAGGGGGCATAGTTCCCTCACGCTGGCTGAGGAATTCTGGGAGTTGAAGTCCACAAGTCATCAAAGGGTCCTAGTTCCCTCACGCTGGCTGAGGAATTCTGGGAGTTGAAGTCCGCAAGTCATCAAAGGGCCAAGTTTGAAGACCCCTGTTGTTGGCAGGTAACGGAGTTGGCCACGCTGGGCTCCCTCTACGACCGGCTCCAGCCACCCTTCCCTCTGCACCAGCTCTGGAGCTACGCCGCCCAGGTGGCCGGGGCCATGGCTTACCTGGAGTCCAAGCTCTTCGTCCACCGGGATCTGGCCGCCCGGAACATCCTGCTGGTCTCTGAGGACCATGCCAAAATCGGCGACTTCGGCCTCATGCGCCCGCTGTCCAGCAAGAGTGACCGCTACATCATGTCCGCCCACCGGCGCATCCCGTTCGCCTGGTAAGGCTCTCTGAGGCCGGGAGGGTTTAACCCCCACTTCCCCCATCTCCTCAGGCTGCTGCTGATCCCTCAGCGGCCATGAGGACTAGCACCTTGCGGGGTGCTGGCAAGACTGAATGAACATACCATGCCAGGATTTCAGGGAGAGATGTGGTTTTTCAGAAGAGGCTGGACAGCCACTTGTCTGAAATGGTCTAGGGTCTTCTGATTGACAGGGGGGCTTGACTAGAAGATCTCCAAAGGCCCTTCCCGGTCTGTTATTCTGCTACTTTGTCTTCCTTCCTTCCTTCCTTCCTTCCTTCCTTCCTTCCTTCCTTCCTTCCTTCATTGGACAGCCCCTTGTCTGAAATGATGAAGGGTCTCCTGCTTGAGCAGGGGGCTGGACTAGATGACCTCCAGGGTCCCTTTCAGCTCTATTCTGCGTCTAAAAGGTGTTCCTTTCTGCTTAGAGCAGATCTCGGCCAGCAAATTGTCTTCCCATTTACATCTATCCGAATTTATATTTCATCCTGTACGAAGGATGGTGGTTTATACGATTGGTCCTCTTCTTACGACCACAGTGAACTCCCCATTTTCCGTTGTTAAGCGAGACCGTGACGTGCGCTTCGCCCCATTTTACGACCTTTCCTGCTACGGATGTGAAGGGAGTCACTGCAGTGGTGAAGCTGCTTACAGGCTTGCCCAGTGACTCTTTGCTCGCCTGAAGGTCGTAAAACAGGATGGCTTGACCCCCCCCCCCTCCCCGGGGGACACTGCAACCGTCATAAGTACGAGTCAGTTGCCCAGCGTGTGAATTTTGATCACGCGACCGCGGGGATGATGGCTGCACAGTTCCCTAAAGGTGAAACACGGCCATAAGTCCCTTTTCCCAGGGCCAACGTACCTTCAAACGGTCGCTAAATGAACCGTCGTAAATGGAGGACCGCCTTTGAGACCCTGACCCCCTCTCCCCCCCCTCCAGCAATCCAAGTTTGAGGATTCTTAGCCTGTTTGCAGGGGGGGGGAGAAATCTGCAGGAATTTGAATGGCACCTTTTTTGAATTTTGCTCTTTGGCAAAATGTTATTTGACCGTTGCCCCTCCCGAGCTCAGGTGGGGTGGGCGGTGACCAGGTGACTGACCCCCCCCACCTTGCTGCTCTTCCAGGTGTGCTCCGGAGAGTCTGCGCCTGGGCGTCTTCACCAGCGCCTCGGACGTCTGGATGTTCGGAGTGACCCTCTGGGAGATGTTCTCCTACTGCGAGGAGCCCTGGGTGGGCTTGACCGGCAGGCAGGTGAGACCGACAGGGGGCGACCCCCCCAAACCGGCACAGGGAAGGGGCCAGTGGTTAGAGCCGTTGCCTGTCTGGGGGACGATGGGAGACGGTGAGTTCTAGTCCCGCCTTAGACATGACAGCCGGCTGGGTGACTTATGGTCCAATCACCAGGAGACGGTGAGTTCTAGTCCCGCCTTAGGCACGAAAGGGACTGGGTGACTTTGGGCCAATCATCAGGAGTCTGGGAGTTCTAGACCCACCTTAGCCATGAAAGGGATTGGGTGACTTTGGGCCAATCACTAGAAGACGGAGAGATCTAGTCCCGCCTTAGGCACGAAAGGATGACTTTGAGCCAATCACCAGGGGACGGTGAGTTCTAGTCCCGCCTTAGGCATGAAAGGGACTGGGTGACTTTGGGCCAATCACCAGGAGACGGTGAGTTCTAGTCCCGCCTTAGCCATGAAAGGGAATGGGTGACTTTGGGCCAATCCCCAGGAGATGGTGAGTTCTAGTCCCACCTTAGATGTCTAAGTGACTGGGTGATTTTGGACCAATCACCAGGAGACGGTGAGTTCTAGTCCCACTTTAGCCATGGAAGGGACTGGATGACTTTGGGCCAATCACCAGGAGACTGGGAATTCTAGTCCCTCCTTAAGCCTGAAATCCATCTGAATGGCGTTGGGCCAGTCACTAGGCGACGGTGAGTTCTAGTGCACCTACAGCAGGAAAGCCAGCTGGGTGACTTTGGCCTAGTCCCTCTCTCAGCCCAGCCCACCTCACAGGGTGGTTGTGTTGGAGGAAAAAAAAACAGGAGAAGGAAGCAATATTAGCTACGTTCACCGCCTTAAGTTATTTATAAAAAAATAGCATAAAAGACGGCCCAAAAAAGCTATTTATTTTTTTTCCTGAAGCGACTTTTGAGCTTCTGGCAGATCTTGTAATAGTAATAGTAGTAGTAAAGTTGGAAGGGACCTTGGAGGTCATCTAGTCCAACCCCCTGCTCAGGCAGGAAACCCTACACCATTTCGGACAAATGGCTGTCCAGTCTCTTCTTCAAAACTTGTGCGCCTCACCTTGAAACGGAGGCTTTGTTTTTCCTTCCTGACCCACCCAGATCATGATCAAAATCGACCGGGAAGGAGGCCGCTTGGAAAAGACGGAAGACTGTCCCAGGGTCATCTACGCCCTGGCGCTCAAGTGCTGGGCCCACAACCCGGAAGACCGGCCCAAATTCCGGGAAATGGTCCACCTGTTGCAGGAGGTGAGAGGAAGGCTGCGTTCACACAAACACCTGGGGTGGGTCGGGGGAGAAAAGACTCTTGTTTGGTCCAGGACTATCTAGATTCCTGTCTGGCCAGCAGCTGGTCAGGTTGGGACAGCCAGGTGGCTGGCCTCAGTCCATCTAGGCCACTTTGAAGACTT